AATTAGGGGTGAACGATAGCCATGTGATGTGAGTATTAATTAGGTGTGAACGATAGCCATGTGATGTGAGTATTAATTAGGTGTGAACGATAGCCATGTGATGTGGGTATCGGTCACCTGTGAGCGATAGCCATGTGATGTGAGTATCAGTCACCTGGAGGCAGGACTCAAAAGCCTGAATTTTGCCTGAAACTCTCAGACTGAAGAAGTCTCTTGGAAGAGAGACAAAACGTTTCATTAAAGAAGAACCCGTCCAGAGGACCTATACAATTTTTTTCCTCTTAGTAATGGTTAATTTTAGGGATAATAACTGGGTTAGGCATAAATGCATTTACAAAAATGAATGGAAGTCAATACAAAGTCCTCGGTTTGATGCAAAAACAAGGATGTGTGTGTGTTCTTTTCTCTGTTGAAATAACACCATATGTTGTGAACAAACATATGTTTTATTAAAACTCATTTTATTATACTGAAAGCAATCATTAGGTGTACCTTTAATTTTTGAAGTCAACCCAATTGAAGAAGGCCACCACACACAAAAATGGCCATAACTGTACCAGTTTTATGGATACTGAGCTAAGGTGAGACAGAAACTGAGGGTCATCCTGAACATATACTCTGATGGATGACAGGTCAGGAGGATGTCACATTATTGCATGAGATCATGCATAATTTACAAGGTTTGACCAAAACAGCTATAACTCTGTCCTTTCTCCACAAAGGTGGTAGGCAATATTCATCCCTTCAAGGAAAGCTAGACTTTTAAATATTTTAGTGTCTGAATGAAAGCAATACAGTGGCACGGTGGCTCAGTTGATGCCTCTCAGCAAGAAGGTCGCAGGTTCAAACTCTGGCCAGGGGACCTTTCTGGGTAGAGTTTGCATGTTCTCTCCATGCATGTGTGGGTTCTCTCCGGGCACACCGGCTTTCCTCCCACAGACCTGTCAAGTTAATTGACCCTAGGTGTGAGTGAGAGAGTGAATGTTTGGTTGTCTCCATGTGTCCTTGTGATGGACTTGCGACCTGTCCAGGGTGTCCCCCACCCCTCACGCTGTGGCTACTGGATATGGGCACCAGTAAACCCCGTGACCCTGAAAGGAATAAGTGCACTCTAAAAATGAAATGTTGGATTTACTTAACCATGTTGTGTGACCTGGTTCCACTTAACTGAGTTGAGTAAATTCAAAGCAACATGCTCATGTTCTTTGGTTAAAAAACTGGTATATTGCTTTGAATTTACTTAACTCAGTTAAGTGGAACCAGGTCACTTAACATGGTTAAGTAAATCCAACATTTCATTTTTTTACAGTGTGGGCATAAATAATGGATGGATGGATGGATGAAAGTGATACAAAGTTATATTTTTGGTCATTTTGACTAGAAGTCACTGGAAAACTTTCCAAACTCTCATTGTAAAAATTAAAGAGTAATTTCAATTAAAAGAATGTCATGTGCCAACACACACACACATATACACACATTAAAAGACATGTAGAAGCGTCACTCAGCAATGCTGTGAAAAGTCAAGCTGCTGTTCTGATAAATTATAAAAGACATGATGTGCTGTGAAAATACGGAGGCAGGAGGAAGACACAAAGGAAGATGAGTAGAAAAACTGAGACAAATACCTGAGCCAGCAACAACTGTGGGGGGAAAGGGACAAAAGTTCCACGGCAGCTGATTTATGCCTTATGGACGCAGTTGTTGTAGTGTTATCACTGAAATTATATTAGCTTCATAGAATTAGGTTTTTTTTTTTGACTGAATATGTACATCTAGAGCTGGAGCTTTGTCAAAATGTGGCTTCTTTAGTTTGGTTGTGTGTGTGTGTGTGTGGGGGGGGGGGTGTTCCAAATTATCCTGGTACCCAAGGAACACGTTGTTTTCTTAACGTTTTTCATAACCCATGTGCATTTAGAAATTGCTCTCCCTCTCTCTCTTCAACACACAAATACCAGATCCCATTTGCTATTTGATAGCAGATCTCTTTTGCAAGAGCCGCCTGGGCCTGAAGCAGAGTTGTAAAGTAACTAACTGCAAATACTTCTTTACTGTACTTAAGTAGAATTTTTGGGTATCTATACTTGAGTAATTATTTCTCAGCCTGCTTTTTACTTCTACTTCTTACATTTTCACACAATTATCTGTACTTTCTACTTATTAAATTTTTAAAAAAAGGCATGAAGTAGAAAGTTGTTACTTTTATTTAATTTTTGCTTGTTTTTATTCCAGCTTGTTATTGTAAAAAATAAATACTATCCATATAAACTGTGCCTCCCAGATAGAGTGAATTTAACTGTGGTTGAATGGGAAATATAAATATATAAAACTCTGATAGCGTATTAGTTTGTACACAAACAAATCATGTCACACTCCAGCAGGACATAATCAATAAAATAAAATAAAATAGGTAAAAAGGCCTGTACTTAAGAAGTATTTGTATTTCATGAATTATAATATTACATTTGCCCTCAGATAGATTTTCCTTTTGGGGAAAAGGTTTGTGCAGCCTTGATATACAGTATTTATATAACTGGAACAGCTGGAAAAATGTACAGAGACATCCTAAATTTAACATCAATTCATTATTTTAATATGACTGTCATTTCTGCATTTATTTATTTATTTTTTTGGTGGGGAGGTCACCTCCTAATAAATGTCATTACAGAAAATCTAACTGCTC